CTGTGGATTAACACGGTGTTATAATGCTTTGGTAAGACCACGCTTGGAATATTATGTCCGGTTTTGGATGCCAGGATGTACAAAAAGATGTTGAGACTCTAGAAAGAGTGCAGAGAAGAGCGACAAATGGATGCAAACTAATCAGGCAGAGAAGCAACTAGAACTAAGGAGAAATTTCCCAACAGTGAGGACAATTAACCAGTGGAACAGTTTGGCACTAGAATTTTTTTTTAATTTATTTTATTTTATTTTATTTTACAAAACGACCATCTTTCAATTCAACGGTGTATTAACTGGGCATATATATCTTGTATACATCTTCATATTTAATATATGCTTGCACCTAGAAGTTGTGGGTGTTCCATTCCTGGATGTTTTTAAGAAGAGATTGGAGAACCATTTGTCTGGAATGGTATGAGGTCTCCCTGCTTGATCAGGGGGGGGTTGGACTAGAAGACCTCCAAGGTCCCTTTCAACTCTTCTTCTGCTAACCCCTTCTCTAAAGCACCTGAAGGCAGGACAAGAAGCCATGGGTAGAAACCAGGGAGAGAAGCTACCCGGGAATGAAGGAGAAATTTCCTGCCAGGGAGAACAATTACCCAGTGGAACAGCCTGCCACCAGAAGTTCTGGGTGCTCCAACACTGAGAGTTTGTAAGGAGAGATTGTACGGCCGCTTGTGTGGAATGGTCTAAGGCAGGGGTAGGGAAACTTGGCTCTTTTATCACTTATGGATTTCAACTCCCAGAATTCCTGAGTGAGCCATAAAAGGTTCCCCATTCCTGGCCTCCTGGTTTTTCAGTCGTGGGGGAAATCAATTTTCTTTATAGGTCCTACATTTGTATATTAAACGGTCCCGTTCAAGTCAAAAATTGACTTGTATAGGGCAGTGATGGCTAATCTTTTCAGCGCCAAGTGCCCAAAGCGTGCCTGTATATGCACATCCTCAAAGTGCAATGCATGACTCTCCCATACATGCACATGCCATCCTATGCATGCTCCCACTCCCTAATGCCCCCCCCCCCCGATAGGCACAGCAGAGACCTGAAGGCCAGCTGGCCGGCAGGAGGCAGGCACAGATGCGCAGCCGAGCTGAGCTGGGCCAATGGCTCATAGGCCCACCGAGAGGGCTTTGCGTGCCACCTCTGGCACGCATGCCGTAGATTCACCATCACGGGCATAGGGTCTCCTGCTTGAGCAGCGGGGTTGGACTAGAAGACCTCCCAGGCCCCTTCCAGCTCTATTCTGAATTTGAATTTGATTCACCCCACCATGGGACAATCATCCAGGGATGTGGGTATGTCGGGGCACTGCACCAAGCTCCACGGGGGCTGCAGGGGCTGCCACACCGCCAGGATGACGGAGGGGTGCCAGCGGGATCAGCTCACAAGGTGGCAACCAACCAAGCCGTCGAGTAAGTGAGTCCAGCAAGCGTCCATGAAACCAGTCGTGTCTCTGAAGAATCGAAGGGGCTCAACCCTTCCTGTAAAACAGGGTTTTCCAACCTTGGCCGCTTTAAGGCTGGTGGACTTCAACTCCCAGAATTCCTCAGCCAGCTGGCTGAGGAATTCTGGGAGTT